GGTAAAAAGAAATCGCTTATACTATATTAGTCATTTATTAACGAAAATTGGTAGCGTTTATTGAAAAATTTACTACGTAAGTAAATAATTTTTCTCAAAGTATTTATGTTCCAAGAATGTTTTTTCGCGCATAGTTAGAGAAAAATAAATATTAAGGAAGTATTTAAAAGTTTGTTTCTTACAATTATATACAAATAATTTGTTATTATACAGAGGGAAACATGTAACGTGATCACTTCGATTACCTTTAGTCATTTAGTTATCACAGAAATAATAAAAAATTATCTTGTCGTAAATGATAGAACGTGAAAAAACAGCGAAAAGATAATAGCATTTAATTACTGTTAAGTTAAACATGTTACTAAAGACAGAAAAAATCAACTTACTTAAAACGAAAACGATCTAAGTGATTACGTTAAGTGATTCACCTTGTTTAAGCACAAAAATCAAGAAAAAAAGACAGAAAAAGGAAACAATATACTATAAAACTATAAAAATATAAAAATCTAAATTTTTGTTGGTGTTATAAGGGTTTAAATTGTTATTTTGTTCTCAAATTGACATTTGATTAGTTTATATATACATCATAATTCGTGTTTAATTTGTTAAAAAATTATAGTATAGGCGTTAGAAGGATCATTAATATACCTTATTTACTATCAAATTAAATTAAATGCACTAAATTTTATATTTTTTCCGCGAATAAAATTACGTATCAGATTGTAAATATAATGATTACATAAATATATACATTTGTTTTATGTTTCTGTAATGCTCTAAGTTTTTGTCACTGCTATGAGACTTTAAATTGTCAACTATTGTTATGTTTAAATTTTGCTAACTTACGTATACATTATATTCGTTGAAAATTTTAACCAACTTACCCGGATCAATGATGGCTAATTGATTGGGGCTAATTGAACAGCATAACAAGTGTTAAAAAATCATTAACACTAGAACTACCAATCCAGTGAAAATGAATGGTCTCAGATTTTCCTTTCTGCAATTACTAAAAACATATACCTGCTTTTCAAAAAATTTGCGTTGTCTTATATTGAGATAAAACTGTAATTAATATATTTACTTATCTTCATCGTGCCACTAAAATTACTCTTATCTATGCCCGCTATGTTTAGGTACCCATTAAAGTAGTTCTAGTGTTAATATACCATAATTGTTATCCTTTTGAACTCAAGAGATTCTCGGTCGCCACTCAGCAAAATATTATCAAAAATGTCATCGACTTTATGATAGAAAAGCTTCAAATTGTTATTTCCCGATAATTAAAAAGCTTTGCAAAGATATAAATTAAGCCAATTTTGGTTATTTGATACGTATCTTATCAGATGTAATAACAATATTTCGTTTAGAATTTATTACGAAAGCTGAAATTTGGCTTACCAGCCCTAGTCTTCCGTACTATGTTTAGATACACGTTACAGCTTCGTTCCATCGCGCTAGATCATGTCCTTCAAATTATTACTGGAAGCCCTCTATGTATCCCATGATGATATTATGAAATGAAATAGATGTCAAGTCTTTGTTTTCGTGCATTGTGAGAATCATTTGAGAGTAGTGACTTATAGACGAATAGACTGAATTTTATTATCAATACCTACGACATCGGTTGAATTCTATATCGAGTCAAGCTAACTGTTCCTTTCATGTTTCAAGTAAGTTAGTCTTCTTTCTCCCTCTGACTCTCTTCGCTATGACCTTCGAACAGGATGTTGCCTTTTCACGTTATACGGCGCATAAATCGGCATATTCATGCGCTTACGGGAAAGCATATGCATTTCGCTTCTTATTCGTTCCATGTGGCTCTTACTACTGTTCTCATACGTGTCGTCTTATACATTTCACGTACATAAATTTTTGTAATACAAATTTCTGAGGTCAAGCATAAATCGTGAAGAAAATTGTGAATTCTTACGTACTTCATTGCAGCATTTGCACTCCTCTAAGCAGTTTCAAAACATGGGTCACCAAATGATTCATTGACTTCCAAATTCTGCTATAAATGATATTCGCTGATATGCATTACAATATACCAAATAAATTTCAGGCACAGCTTAATTTCACACCGAAAGTTTGTGACAATGAATAACCATACGTTCCTTTTAACAAGAAAATGAGAAAATCGTGGTTAGTTAATAATATCCCTCTATAATCAACAAAGTCAACGTGAAATTTTTATCGATATGTTTTTAAATTCGTTAAAATAAGAATTTCAAATAAATTTTTATGTTAAACTTACTTTACCTGATCTTATTATTAATATCGGACAGTTAACATAAAATAAAAAAAGAAGGAAAATGGTAACGTAAATATTACACTATTATCTTATGAGATAATATATCATCTACATCATCTGAAACAATTCATTTAGAATGTTTATTATTAAACTAAATTATCAATATATCTTATACATTGCGATAAAATATTGTACGTTATTATTATTCTTTTAGTGTGTGTATATGTACTAAAATATCCTGAAACTCAAATTCATTATTATGTATTTAAAATCATGTTAAATTTGCCTTATAAAACATGGTTGTAAATCCATTTTATACACGGGATATTTCGTACAATTTATTGCAGTTGCCGTAGTTGTGAAATAATAAAAATGAAACAAAAATTTCATTACACGCAATTAAATAACATTAAATGGTGCATGATCTGGTGTCTGTGCTTACTCCGGAAGTGCAGAAGTTTGGAAGATTTCAAGGTCACCTCTATCTTTTTTTTTTAATGACACAATATATAATACCTTTTTATTTTTAATAATAAATACATTACTATTTATTCTCTATAAAACGATAAAGCATTTATTATTAGGACACTTAGATGAAACATTGATAAAAAATTGAACAATAATATCGAAAATAATTTTCAAAATATTATTCGCATATAATCATATATACCGGTAATTATGAAAGTAATCTAAGTAAAAAATCTAAAAGAAATGATTTTGTATTAGTGTACTTATTTAGATTATGACAAAATAAAATCATTTTTGGTAACATAAGTATAAATTATGAAAATTAGTTAATATATTTCTTTTAATTTATAATATATTTAAAGTGTAAGGCTTTTAATATTTTGCAAAGAAATATATATAACTTAAGCCACTTTCGTAATTACCGGCACATATAATTATCATATTACACTTAAACGTTATCATATTACAACATAGTTTAAGTACGTTCATTCTATATACGTTGTCTTAATAAAATCTGTATAATTTGTGTATATGTCATTTAATTATTTAGTTAATATCTAAACGATTCTCTTATTCGTATGAAATACGTGACTTCTGCCTACACGGATTCCCACAATAAAGTACAATTTTTTAGTGTTAACAAGCGTTTCTGTTAATGTAGTCACTTATTATACAATCTATAGATATAATTGAAATTAATTTAATTAAGTAACAGCCAAAAACAAAATCTCGCTTATTTAACTTTCTCATTTAATGTGATCATTTTGTATATCTTAACTACATACATTTATAAATTGATTTATAAATCCAAAGAACTTTAGTCAGCTTATACTAACAGTCCTAACCCATCTTACAGCAAATATCGAACATTTGTATTTTTTTAACAAATACTTTAAAAAAAGATAAAGTAGTTTTTTCGTAACATGTGCTTCTCACTAGATTTCTATTAAAAAATTTTAAACTCCCCCCCTAAAATTAAAAATTAAAATTAAAATTTTAATTCCCCCCCTTAAAAAAAATTACGTTAATCTTGACTTCTTTGACAAATTAAATATCTCAGAAACAGAAAATTAAATTGAAAAATCGATAAAGATGAAATGTTCCTTGCAATAACATTGAAATCCATCGTTAAAAAAAGTGGAAAATCACATTTAAAAAAACTAACTTGATCAATATATAGTTAAATTATCTTCACTTAATATAAAGACAAAAACAATATGAAATCTCCTCTTCCAAACTTTACAACTTTTATTTAAAATATTTTATTAAATTTAAGTTAAAATGTGACAACCTGTATAAGTCAACCTATAGTCTATGAGGCATTAGTAATTACGACTATGACTGTGTGATCGTAATGTCTCGAACTCCAAAAATCACTATCTACAAATCAACGACGAGTATCCTTATTGCTAATATATGTTGATGAAAGTGATTAATAAATGCTTGTAAACATTTTAAAATGTTTGCAAGCATTTTCCACAAAATTATATTCGGAATTATTAACAAAAACTACTATGTAGATCAAAGATCAGCAATGAGGAATTCATTAGCATTCATATGAAGCATTTTTAAATATCTTTCATTGTGAAGCATCGAGTAATCTTTAAATTTTCAGTTACGTATACCAAAACTCAGCAATTAAAATAAAGTAATAATTTATTACTAATAAAATTAAATTGTCATATGTCAACTATTCAGAATGCCCTATTTAGTGAAAAGATTACCAGCCTCTGACAAAAATTCTTAAGTCCATACAATACTTAGCAATTAAATACTTTCATGAAATGTCAATATACTTCAGGATATTAATCGTGTCAAAAACGACGAAATTTAAGGAAAATACTAAAATATATCAATCATAATATTTCAAATTTAGTAATGTAAACTATTTACTAAACATGATTTATTCGATGACTAAAATATTTGTTTTTTAATAATACATCTTATAAAATACAGATTTATACAATTAATTTCATACAGTTTTCTCTAAATTGTATTACATCATTTATATTTAAGAAAACTAATATAATCTAAGAATATTAAAAAGAAAGAGATATAATAAGAAAAGTTCGAATTCCAGTAAAAACATAATTTTATATATGTAATATTATATATTGTTATGTAATACACAAATGTATATATTACATATTATATAATATGTAATATTATATATTATATAATATTATATAAAGTTTATAATCTATCAATTAATGATGAACCATTATTTAAGAAACATTATTTTTTTACATTACACATACATACTTTTACTGAAAAAATTTTATTCATCTTGAGATTTCTTTTTCTTTTTCTTTTTTTTCTCAGCTACAGTTTTTTCGCCCGTTTCTTCGCTTGGAAATATAGTGCCTTCAGTTTCCTGATCTTTATCTTTTTTCTTCTTTTTCTTTTTTACTTGCTCTATAATAAAAAAAAGTATAAATCATACTATATCTTGTAATATAATGTAAATTATATTTTCTATTCATAATTTTATTCATTACAATTCTACAATGTACAAAACATATGAAATAAAAGCTTACCCCCTGATGTTTCGGGACCTTTTTCTAATGTTTTTTCTTCTTTTTCAGATTTGACATTTTCACATTCAGTACTGCCTCCCTCTGTTTCTTCTAATTTAATTTTCTTTTTTTTCTTCTTTGGTATTAAAATTTCTTCTACTGGCTTAACTTCTTGTTCCATTACTGATTCACCTGCATTATCGCTAACTTCCTTTTTTTTCTTTTTCTTAGGTACTTCTTCGTCTGGTTTTGTAATTTCTTCAATTAATGGCTTTTTATCTTCAGTTTGGGAATGTCTTCTTTTTCCACTTGGAAGAGTTGTATCAGCAGCAGCAGGGTATTGAATATATTCACTTTTAGTGTGATATTTTTCAAATTTTGCTTTTGCTTTACCTGTTCCACTAATTCTACGAAGATTTCCTTCTTCTAATATCCTCAAACGTGCTTCTAATTTAGCTTTATGTTCAGCACCAAGATCAAAGTTTCCATCTTCTCCTAATGCATCTACTCTAGTTGCTAATGAAGCTTTAGCTGCTAACATTCGAGACATTTTTCCCTTATTTTTTGTTGAAGATTGCCCAACAAGTTGTGCATGATAAATTAAACCATATTTGGGAGTATCCTTTTTAGTTTTTAATGCCCTAAAAAGAGCTTTCTCTGCGCCAAGTATTTGTACAGTAGATGCTGGATGCTTGGCAAGATTAATTAAAGAACCAGCATGTGAAATTAAACGAGCTCCCACTAACTCTCCAACAAGTACAGTTAAATTTGGTGCCATTGCCATCATTCTTGCCTTAAGATAGTCATATAATTGTGCTCTATATTGAGAAATTTCAATAACTTGATCACATAAATGTTGAATGTTTAAAATATCATCTTCAGAAATTTCAGTTCCCATAGATATTTCAGCAGCTTCTTTTACTTTCTCCTCTATATCTTCTGGTAAAATATCAGATAAATCTGAATTTATGGTATTTTCTCTAGTTCCAATTACTTTTACCGTTTTAACAAATGCTATATTGTCTGTAATGATCTTTCCAAGTTCTGGAAAATGCCAACCATACCATTCATGACAACGCATAATATAGTTATTTAATTCTTTGTCTAAATCATCTAACAGACAAACAGCTTGTATTATCATAGTATCAATTTTGTCAGGTGAAAATTTCAATTTATACCTGGAAAGACTATGTGCTAAACCTAGTGCCATTGCTGTTATTTCTTTTTTTGGCAGACCAGCCAATAAGCTATCTATTTGACTTCTTATGCATCTCATTAATTCTTGTATAGCAGTGTTGCTGATGCAAGACAAACTAAGTTTATCCTTTATAGCATTACCCAGTTTAGTATCAGCTACAGCTAACTGTTCTTGAAGTTCACTGCAATGTCTTTTAAGTACTTTTTTTAATGATTTGCACAATTTACCTTCTACTGCAGCTGTTGTTGCCACAAGAGCTTCAGTAGTATCTGCAAACTTTTCAAAATGCTTCAACTTCACACTGTAATGTAAAAAATGATGATATAATTTATACCTACATGATTAATTTGCGATATTAAAACATGAAATTAAATAAAAATTATTTAAATGAATGAAAATTAGCAAAAATTTATTATTACAATTAAAAATGTTCATTTTTTAATAACAAAAGTTATCAATTTTAAGTTATTAAAAATAGGTTAAAATTACATTCAAATTTTCAGGAATTAACTTACATTTTACTAGCTGCTTCAGGTGTTTCAAAATCATGATAAAGATTTTCTACTTCTGTTAATCTATTTTCATCAAGTAACTGCAAAAAACGAACATGATTTTATACAACATATTTAAATCTATATAGTATTTATACATAAAGTTTCACAATATCAAATTATTTAAATAAACTTGAAAATTAATACTCATACAAACACGTGCAATATTTTTTAGGTTAAGTGTTCAATTAAAGCTTCCGGTATAATTTACCTTAAAAATAGCATATCCCGCTGGAGTTTCAAATAATACTAACATGTTGAATAATTTTTATTTACGATTAGAAATATCGTATTAATGTTTTAAACAATTTTCACATTTGTAGTAAAAGGCGCCAACGAGTTACACTTTCGAAAAATTTTCGTAAGTTATTGTAGTTCTGTACATTAATCCGTGTTGGCGCTAGTGGTCACATAATAAAATTACGTATTACTGAACATAAAATTTTATTAAATTATTTATTGTCTTGTACAATATATAAAAAATAATTAAAAAGGTTAACACACTCTGTGTTAATAAAAAATAAATATAATGTGCAAAATAGTTATAGTTTCTTTAATTTTACAAACTTTAACTTTGTATTTTAATTTTTAAATATTTCTGCAGGATACTTTCAAAACTGTCACTGCCACATAAAATACAGTTCTTCAGTATTATAATTTTTTGAAATCTCTATACTATTGCTGCAATTTTATATATATATATAATATAATTTGAATGGGCACTAACTTTAGTACTCAAATTTTTATAACATTGGAAAAAATGTTTGTAAAAGATTAATTTTAGTTTATACAATATTTAATATTGTAAACTTTATATGGTTATTAGAATAAACATAATTTTTTGTTTTATAAAATTAATATTAATTTGTAATTTTTAGGAAATTTTAAGTCAACAAACATTATTTCAATATTTTATTTCATTGCGGAGATATCAATATTTATACATATGTACATACTGTAGCTTCAACAATGTAATGTGAACAATTGAATATAGTAATTAAAAGTAGTTCCGATTTAAATTAACGAATATGGTGTTAATTTTGTATTTTTTTATTATATTTATGTATGTTTATCAAATTTAATATAATATATATGTTATAAAAATTTCCTAAATACAACACTTTTCAATAAATATGTCATTCCATACCATATATGATTTTCACAGTACTTATATATATATATGCAACGTAATATCTAAATCTATCAATATTTCCTGATTATTCTATCAAATTTTATCTCATCACACATCATATTACAAAATTTTATTTTAAATATATTTGTCTTTTTTTTGAATTCAATGATTTCTAATAAATCCATAAAGAATATGGTTACTTTATATGTAATACAAAGTCCAAATTTCATTATCACATATTTTTTTACACATTACAAGATTACAACTTTTTAATTATATTTATGATAGTAGCAATAGCGGCATTTAAATTATAATGCACAATGAATATTATCTTTGTAATAAGAATTAAATTATACTTTTTTTATTTTTTATATTTGAGCAAGGAAAATATTTTCAAGTTACTTATTTATAAATATTTAAATACAACGCATCTTTAGTTGTAACTATATTTCAATTATTAACATATTATTCTAAACTTTTTCCTTTTTCTCTAAATAAAAAGTAAAATAATAATATATATATGAATCAAAATAATATATAATGACAAAAATGAATTTATTAATAAAGATCGTATAAAAATTAATAATTATAATCATAATAAAAAATATATTTACATAATAGCTTATCAGATTATATTATATACGTAGATAATACTATAAAACTAATTATTCTATTGATTCCAATTATGTGTGAGAAACATGCATCTATTACACATAGATCTATGAAAATATTTTGCAGAAATCTCATTATATGTAGAATTAAATTTAAAAACAAAAACTTTTATCAAAATCGCCTTTCTTATTATTTCAATACATATTTGCACTGCATCATGCTAATTCATTTTTACTTCATTTTCATCATAATCCTGTAAGTTATAAATTGGCATATTTTATAATTTATAATAATATTACAAAAATTTAATAGATAACTTTTTAGACTTTAGCTTAACTTTTTAGATCATCATGTACATATTTATATACACATATGCAATAAAACAGTGCATGCATATAATAGCAATAATAATCTTCATATCACGATAATACTAATAAATATAATACAGTAATAAGAGATATAGTGTTAATATAAATAAAAATTTAGTAAATATTACAATATTTATGAATTCAAATAAATTTTGTTTAGGTTAGGAAATAAAATATGTTCTCACATTAAATAGATTCATTAAAAAATTATATTTATACATATGATCTTACAAAAAAAATAAAGTTAACAAAATTTAACATGAATATAAAATTTACTATCTCAGATCAATTTAATTGTTATAGACGTCCAACCTGTACAAGTCAGCCAATATATACATATATATAGGAACATGAAAAGAATGAAAATGGAAGTAAAGCTTGACATGTAGAAAATTATATCTTCATGTTCATTGCTCTAGAAGATAAAAGATAATTGTAAAATTGGATTATATTTTTAACTAAAATAAAAATAAAGTGTACAATACAGAAACAAGAATACATATAGACATATGTATACATATAGCAACTGTACGATAGAATGTGATAAAGTACAAAAGTTATGTTAAGTTCATGGTATTGTGTAAAAGGACAGCAGTGCGAGTACGTTTCAATAACGTTTTGATAATGTATGAACAAGTAACGACTTATTAACCATTTTGTATTTTACTTTATCTTGTTAATTTTAAATTAAGTATTCTTATCCAGTTTTCGTGAAAATAATTTTTTCTGTTTTAACGAAATAGTATCACTGCATGATGGGTTATTTTTTTATAGAATGATTATATTTGTATTTTTTCTTGAAAAAGTTGAAACGCAATACGTTAAATAAAAATGACGATAAATTTTCTTATGATTTTCAGAGGATATTTAATTTTTTTAGTACAATAAGTGATTGATGAAATAAACATAGAAATGCTTCCTAACATACATGATAAAGATTACAGAGTTTTGGATTTAGTACGTCAACGTGAAATACGGGTATGTTAATAAAAAATTACACTTATATATAAATATAGATATTTATTTATTTATTCTTTATAACTATATTAATACCTAATATTTTTCAATATCTGTTTACAATATGAACATGTATATTCATGATCACGTTTAATGTTTTTTTATAATATTTTTATATATTAATATATTGTTAATTTCTTAAACATAAGCGTTCCATAAAAATAAGTTGATGTTTAATTCTATTTAATTCATTATTTAGGATTCAGTGGCACATTCAGTTTCTCAGAAATTACATGTGACAGAAAATTTGATATCTCGATTAGGACTTGAAAAAGAATTGGTTGGTCATACCGGATGTGTTAATTGTTTAGAATGGAATGAAAGTGGACAGTAAGTATTCGTTAAATTATAATATAAAACAAATATGATAGAAATATTCATAATTTAAATAAGTGTTCTTATATGCACCGAGATAATTTATTAGTAGTTAGTATGTGTTTTAATATATTTATTGCATTTCTAGAATTCTTGCTTCAGCATCTGATGATATGAACATTATATTATGGGATCCATTCCGATATGAAAAAAAATTAGTACTTCACACACGTCATCATGGAAATATATTTTCCGTTAAGGTAAATTAGTATTGAATATATAATTTCTTAAGTATTAATATCATTGTTATTAATATTATAGTTGAAAAATTTAGTTCTGGTAAATTTTTTAATTACTGATATTTTTAATAATTATTTTATTATTAATGACAGAAAAAACATTTATTTCCATTTTTTGCAGTTTATGCCAAAATCAAATGATAGGATATTAGTATCAGGTGCTGGAGATGGGAAAGTACGAGTTCGTGACATTAATCTTCTTGAACCAATATTTTCGTGTAATTGTCACATAGGTCGTGTAAAACGAATTGCCACAGCAAATACTGTACCTTTTCTTTTTTGGAGTGCTGCAGAAGATGGTCTTATTTTACAATATGATATCCGTGCTCCTCACAGTTGTAAAAGTACTGACTGTAACAGTGTATTAGTAAATCTTGTTAATCATGCTGGTCGATATGCAGAAGGCAAGTGCATTTCTGTAAATCCAAAAAAACCTGAATTAATAGCTATTGGAGCCAATGATGCTTATATACGAATGTATGATCGTAGGATGATCAAGCTTTCTCAGGTAATTATAAAATTTAAATTATTTTTTAAACTTTTTTATTAAAATATGCAACTTACTTTTAAATATAATTGTATTTTTATATTTTATTATTTATATTTTTAATTTTGTGATATTTTTATATTTTAAAATCGTCATGTATTAATATAAAATTAATATAAATCATAGAAATAAGAATTTTATGTTGATAAATATAAAAATATTTGTAATTCTTAATATATTTTTAAATATAAGAATTAATATAAGAATGTTATATATTCTTAAATATTAAGAGTAATTAAATAGAAATTAATATAATATTATAATGTTACTAATAACTAATATACTATTATATTATTAACAATAATAATATAGCTGATATATTAATTAAAGAGAAGTTAATTTTTCTTCTAACTTTGTAAATTTTTTTTAAACAATAGGTGCCTATTTCATCTTCACATAATCGCTGGACAAGAACAAATGTATGTATACGTTTAGCTGGAGGAGGCGATCCAGAAGAGAATATACCATTGGGTTGCGCACAATACTTTATCGCGGGTTCGTTCGTACGATCAGAAATAGCGTACGCGACTCCTTTACCCTTATATTCCTCCTTTGTTATATATTATATGATCACTCTAACAAAGACTGTTAATGTTTGATATTGAGCAGGCCATCTACATTCTCGGCAACGTGACAGTAATAGGAGTCTCACTACTACATATTTAACCTTCAGTGCTGATGGAAATGAACTTCTTGTTAATATGGGTGGTGAACAGATTTATTTATTTGACATCAATAACCCAAAAAGATCGAAGACATGCTTTGGTTATTCTACAAATATGTATTTAGGTAATGATCATAATTGCAAACTTTTATATCTTACATTACTAATTATAAGATTATAAGACGTTGTTAAAAAATTCACAATTTTTTAAGTATTTTGTTAACATAATATAAATTATATACAAATAATAACTATTACAAAATAACAGTAATGACTGATACAATATTCCTTTTATGTTAAAT